ACTGGCTTCCCGCCGTCACCGTCGCGCGGCCCCACGCGCAGTTACACACGATCAAGTACACGGACGTGCGATTCGGCGTCCCATTCGCATTTGCGGCGCAGATGCTCGATGCATTGGCCCGCGTCCGTGTCTGCGGCGTGGGCGTCGTTGGGCGATTGGGACGTCATCCAGCTCGGGTTGAGACTCGGTCACACGGTGGGCGGGGATCAAGGCGCTACAGGACGCAGCCGCGCTCGCACCCAACATGGTGTCGGCGGAACTCGTTTACTATCCGGTCGTCTAACAGCTCCTCTCGCCCAAGGCTCGTCAGCGCCTCCTTCTCTTTAACGACAGCAACGTCCTTGCCATCGACCACAACGGTCGCGCCATTCTTTCCCCCAGGTCGCACCTCGACCTCCACAACCGCGCCGCGCTTCTCAAGCGACAGCTGCCAGGGTAGCTTCGGCCGCGCCCCGTACCTCGTCCGTCAAAGGGTCCCGTACCATCAATATCTGATACTGCGCTGTCGGCAACGTCAGCTTCACCAAGTGCCGCGTCAGAATGATCGTGGTGGTACCCCATGTCCCTCACTTTCCGGCCTGCAGACGAGATGGGGCGGTTTGGCCCTGCGTGGTCCTTATCGCGCACGGGGGACGGTGGATGGGGATTCCCGATGAGGGCATGTCCTCTGACTTTCTTGTTTTCCTAACATATCGGTCGCATCCATATAGATCCATAAGTATACACCTGAAATGTCACGTATTATGGTCCCTCATATTACAACAAATCAATGTAGACTCAATTACATCCAAAAGCGAATGCAGGTACTACCTAAGCGACGTCGCCATCCCAGTATTCATCGAGGGCCTCTGATGTTTGCCGGGAAACCGCATACTCCTGCGCCTTTTCAATCGATCTTGCAGGGGCTGACGCGTGAGACCCGACTGAGGTCCTGCTGGTGTCGGCGTCATCCGCACCACCGCGAATGCGATATGCTCGGTATGGTTCCTCCTGACATTCTTCCTCGGTCAAGTCTTCTGTCGACGGTTGGAAGCAGCAATGGCCTTTTGCTCCATCAAATGACCTATATGCGACTTAAGAAAATGCCAAAGAATTAGAATAAAACGCACCAAAGGGTATTTGATTGTGAACGGACGCAAAGGCGGTATTCCAATCGCACAAATGCGTACTCCCACTTTTTGGCCTGAAGGAATAGTTGGGCGCAAATGCTCCCGAGGGTCCTGTCTCGATCGCGGTGTATTCCACTCGTAAAATTGAAGCATTTGTACAGGTGGCAACCTGTCAAACCCAAGCGGTCGGCGAAATCTGTAGATTCCTTCATATCACGCGCAAGAGCTGGAAATATGGCTCTGGTCGTTTCTATCAGGATCAACATCTCCTACAGATCAATGTGAGCAGAGCTTTGGACTACGCAGGCGAGAGAGAGAGAACCTCAGCGTAGTTGAACATGCAATTCAACTCATCGATTGTATCCGCAGAAATGCCCTCATACATTCTCAGCGCGTCTCCATCCCCCCTCCCGAACCATGCCGGGTTCCAAAAGGGAACATCTTGCCGTGGGTGTAGTAGTTGAACTGCTGCCCACGTACCACAGGTTGCACTTTGGTAAGATCCTTGTGATATGCCATCATGAGCTTGAGATGCTCTTCTGAAAATGCCTCGAACAACACAAAATCAATCTGGGTAGAGGTCAAATCAGTGTCGTCACTTAGAAGTCTTGAAACCAACCTTCTCGTTGGTCTCCTCATCTACAATCCATACGAGATGGCGTCCACATTGTTTTATGCGTACAGGATCTGCCTCAATGAAACGCAAATTGAGGCGCGGGTCTTCTGGATGCAAGATGCCAGGCGGTGGACGTGGAGTAGTATAGGACCCGTCCTTTCGTTTTTTGGACTTTTTGGGCTGTACAAATGTGGTCAGACTTTATCGTTTAGGAAAATGCAGAAGCTTACGGGTTGCAAAGGCAACCGACACCCCTCTGGTGCAAACGTGATAGCACATCCAAGCAGAGACTCGTCCATCGGCTCATGCCTCACATGCACGTACTGAACACATTGTTGATCAGCCGGGAAGTCTCTACACACGTAACATGCATCCGGATTTTGGCCCTCTGGAAGCGACTCTGTGGCCTTTGGAAATGGGACACCACGTGTGTTCACCTGTTCATCTGGCCGCTCCTGATGAGGCAATCGCTAGTTGCTGCTATTCAGTAATAAATCGACGCAGGATCTTCTATGCATACCGGTTTATGTCGAAATGCATGATTGTCCACTTGGTTCTTCAGCGCTTTAAAGCTCAATGTGCGCTCGAATATTGTGCGCAGACCGAGATCTTGAATATCCGACAGCCGACTCTGCTTGCCACGTTTGGCAATGTCTTGCATTAGATCCTGATAAAGACTGCGTAGATTCCGCGCGTCCACCTAGAGCCCATGTTAGAAAATCAGACATGGATCTGCGAGTACACTCACATTGTACCCAAAGCTGTACAAACCTGCGCCGAGGAAGTGGTGCCATGTGCGCACAAAGTTGTCCAAGCTCAGAGTAAAGTAGACACACTGCGGATAGGAGACTCGTGGAATGAGCGACGGTTGGGCCAATAATGCACTGATCAGATCGCGAGAGCCTTTTATGTCCTTGCCCGAGGTCTGCAAAAGGGCAAGTCAGACACGAAAGACTAAAATATGTTGCATTACTCACAGGATATCCGTAAAATTCCACAGCCTTCAGGGTCCAACTATGGACGACTGCCTCTGGGGTCCAGCGCCGTAGGATAAGGCGTACAGAATCTTGGATGCGGTTTTTCCGCAGCAAGTCTTGAATATGCGGGTGTTTCCACTTGACCACATTTTCAGCACTACATATTTTCTTACACACGCTGGCAAAACCAGAGTTCTAAGCAGGAGGTCAGGTCATCGATGCATTGAACGCCAGCAAGTGCGCACCTTTACTTCTACACGCCATGCAGACTGCGTATATATTTTGATGTTAACGTGGCGGATTTCCCGCAACACCAGTACCATCGCATCATACAGCACATCGGACTGCAGGACTAGACCAGGATTTGATGGCGCAAAAGCCTGGGAATGAACGATAAGAAGGTGGGACAACTCTGCAACATGCCAAACTTACGAGGTCCGACACCAGAATTTGTTCCATAGTCTCCTTCCACCATCCAACTTTGTCTGACCATACTTCCGGAGCTTCGCGCAGCAGTCGATTCCATTGGGCTGCTTTCCGACCTTTGATTGGAAGAGCATCAACTTGTTGAAACTGTTCAGCAGGATCGAGACGACGCTTTTTGACTGGTGCTGGCTGGTCTTCGAGGCGATCGACGTCCGAGTCCGAGTTCGTTTCAGATTGGTCTTCATGGTTTGAACTTATATCAGACTCCCAATCTGGAGTCGCACACTCGATGGGCAAGTTCCGTTGCTTAGTTGGAACGTACGCCGTACCATACTACCAAAGATTGAGATTAATATAACTCATATGCCACCGTCTTCAAACCTTACCTGGGAAAACTGGAGCAATTTCTCCTGGAGTTGAGCCAGCCTAGTCAATGCTGCCATGTCCTCGTTGGCCAAGATAAACCGTTGGACATCGATGAAGGCATCAATCACTGTCTCAAAGGCAAACGGAGGTATCTCGAGGGCAGTGCTGGCAGTGGCCCATGAGAAGAGGCTGGCTTTCTGGAATACATGGTCAGGCACATATACTTGAAGGAACAAACTGGATTACCAAGGCGTTGTCGCACTTGAGAAGTGCCGTTCTCAGTTCCCGTGCCCAAGATAAGACGCCGTTGCGAGAGTGACGTTGGGCAGCCAATTGATCAAAAAAGGGGCGCAGCGTCTGGTGGTCCCGCAGTTGAGCGTTGCGGCTAATGTCCACCAGCGGAGTGACAGCAGTGGCGGCCATGGCCCGAGATGAGCTAATAACGCTCAACCCCTTCTTGCCTTGACTGAATGCACCGCAACGAAATCCCCCCCCCCAGGCGCGAAGACAAAGAAAACAGAAAAACGATGAAAGACAAAGACAAAGACGACAGTTGCAGTTGTTTGTTCAACGATCCACCTGATGTTACGTTACTTCAGCCTTCAACCCGGCAAAAACTCAGCTCGGCAAAAACTCTGCCCGGCAAAAACTCAGCGCGGCAAAAACTCAGCCCGGCAAAAACTGTGCGCGGCAAAAACTTAGCCCGGCAAAAACTTGAGCCGGCAAAAACTCTGCCCGGCAAAAACTCAGCTCGGCAAAAACTCTGCCCGGCAAAAACTCAGCGCGGCAAAAACTCGGGCCGGCAAAAACTTGATCCGCCAACGGAGCCAGGCAAGCCGCGCGTTCGCATCAGTAGCACACATCTTTTGACTTCCCCGCCCAACTTTTCCCTCGTAACGTCGTTGGGCCAATATGAACCAGGCAAGTCCACATCTTCAATCGTCTTCCATCGACCAATCTTGTGGTGACCAGGCACTGCCCGTGACGCAAAACATAGCGACATTTACTTTGGATGGGCAGGTGTAAGCATACTTTCCAAGCTGACGAAAAAAGTGGTACTCCGGAATGTATAGGATCGTGATCGTCGTGCGCGCCCCGGCGCATGTTCGTGCTGTTCGGCGTCTGTTGTTCAGACAGCCAACGTGAGTGTGCCAGGCTTCTGAATCTCATCGTACCCAACAAACCCGACAGTGTACAATCCCTTTACCAGTTGAGACGTGATGCGGGGGACCAACATTCTCCTGCGGTGGTCGACCAGCAGATGGCCCGCAATCTGATGAACCACAGCTGAACTCAACGTGTACTTTTTCCAAAAGGCCTCACAGAGTAGATTACTACGTGTTTTGTTTTGATATTGTAATGCTGGTGGTTGGTATTAGTATTGTGCAACTTTACAATGTGTGGATCTTCGTAGATCTTCTCTTGCCCGACACACAGCGCCTGTGCTATGCAAAACAAACGCCCATCCCAAAACAATGGACTTACTTCGGACCGAACAAAAAACAATGGCCTTACTGCGGATCGAACGCAGGACCTTCAGATTCCGAATTTTACTTCAGTCTGCTGCTCTCCCAGCTGAGCTATGAGGCCGATACGAAATTGGTTGCGCACAAAGTCTACCCTAGCCCTGTAGCAGGACAACGCACGAGAGCTTGCAAAATAAACAACTCATAAAAAGTTGTCACGGTCAGCCACATTTGACTGCCTCCGCCGCGATGTTCCTCCTGGCGCGTGCGCAGTTGGGGCCAGCGCCGCTCCTACGGTTCGGCGCGCGATACAAAAAGAAGAGGTCGGCGTACTACGTCCCTGGCGGCGGTGGGCAGGGACAGAAAGGCAAGCCGGCGGTAATACAGAGGGACGCAATGGGACGTCCAATTGTGAAGCAGCGCGAGAAGAGTCTTGGGGTAAGGCCATATCCCATAAAACGCGACTGGTGTTTATATTTTTTGGGCAGACATTCAGGCCGCTGCCGCCGACGGCGCTGGGACACGAGCTGTTTGAGACGGAGGCGCCAGGGCGCGTCGAGCTCGACCTGCCGCTGGTGCAGCCTCGATTGCTGGCGCCCGGGGTAGCTATGAGGTTCCATGACCTTGACCCGTCGAGCCCTTTCCGCGTGTATGGCGTGCCCAAGCATATGGTGCTAGAGGTTCAGTTTATTTTATTTTATAACTTTGGTCACTGTTAACTTGGACACAGTTCCGCACTCTCGGTGTCCCTGCCTCAATCACCACCTCCACCACCCTCTCCCTGATTCGCGCCATCGAGGAATCCCGCGACCGTCCGGCCCGCCTGGTCCTCAACGGCCGCCCCGGTGTCGGCAAGTCCTTCCTCCTTCTCCAAGCCGCTGAATACGCTGCGGCTACCGGAGAATGGATCGTCCTTTATATTCCCCGCGCAAAAAGATTCGTCGACGGGAGTACCCCATACCAATATTCTCTGGCGACGCGCACGTATTTGCAGCCCCGCGCGGCAGTAAATACGCTATCCCGTCTACTACGTGCTAATTCCCATATACTCTCTGAAATGGAGACACAAGCCGACATAGTGCTACCTGATGGCGGGCCCTCCTTCTCTGCCGGCACACCTCTCACCAAGCTCATCGACGCCGGGGTCGAAGGCGAGGCCGTGCTAGCCCCATTTGTACTCGAAGCAGTAATGCAGGAGCTGGGCACGCAAGACGACTTCCCTGTCCTTATTGCGATCGACGACTTCCAAGCGCTTGCGGGGCGGTCGTTATATCGGGACCCAAGGTTCAAGACTATCAGGCCGCACCATTTGAGCATGCCCCGACTTTTGTTGGAGTATGCGGCGGGAAGGAAGAAAATTGTATATATTTTTTTTCGTCTTCTCAATTTGGTAACTGATGCACGTCTCCCAGGCCAGTGGCCTCGTCCTAACCGCTCTCTCGCGCTCCGACACGCAGTTCCCCGTCCCACATCAACTGGCCGACGCGCTCCGTCTGCCCGATTACTTTACTCCCACCCCCAGAAGTGTGAGGTATCGGAGGAGTGTGCAACTGGCTGCTTATTTGGAGAATGAAGTGGAAGAGGTTGAGGGTGAGTAGGATTTCTTTCAGTTATTTCGTTCCCGGTTTTTTTTTTTACTTGGTTTTCTTCCTACTCTCTCTCTTTTTGACGTCTCTCGTACTAATGATCCTTATTTACCCTGCCCCAGAACCAGAACCAGAACTAGAACCTATCGCCATGCCCAACGAGGAACTCGACACCTCGAAGCCTGACGCCGAACTTGCTGTCTCAGAGTCTGGCGCCGATGCCGAACTCGCCGCCTCAACTGACGCCGACCCCGAGCTCGCCGCCTTTGATTCAGACGCCGACGCCGACTCCGATGCTGAATCCTCCGACGTGGAAGACGAACCGGCCTGGACCGGCTACACCGCGTACGACCCACTCTCATACGAAGACTCAATGCGAGCCACCGCCTCCGATCCCTTCCCCGTCCCGGGCCCGGCGGACTTGTGGAAAGAGATGGTTGTGCCGCGGGACGAGGAGGGCGGGGATAAGTCGCTGGGAGCTTTGGAGGATGTGGAGGAGGACTGGGAGGGGGAGGATCCGGTCGAGGCTTCGGCGCCGGCCGACTCCGAAGTTGTGCAACAGCAGCAGAAGAAAAAGAAGAAAAAGAAACAACCGAAGATGGTACGCGCGCTGCGTGCAGTGCGGGTGCCGGACTCCCTGTCCATCCGTGAAGCGGTCGGCTTGTTTGAGATGTGGCTAGACGCAGGTGTGCTGAGGACTGGTGAGTTGCGAGGCTTTTTTATGTCTTTTTTGGATTCGCCCCTTGTACCAAAGTCGCGTCGCGTCCCGCGTACCTGCTACTCCCTTTGTTATGCGCTCACCACATCCTGCTTCGTTCTCTCACACTAACATTTCCTCTTCAGGTGGCGAACGCCGCGCCCTGCGGCGCGCCGAGCTTGAGACACGCGATGAGTACCGCGCCGTCAAGCCGAGGTCGATGCCGACCGCGAGACCGCGTATGACGAGGAACTCGCAGAAGCCGACCAGGATCCCTCCGCCTTATCCCCCTTCTCCACTCAGGCCATCCTTCCCCCACCTAAACGCGCGGCCCCGAAATCATCTCCCTTTAACGCCTTCGCATCCACCGTCCAAGCCACGACGTTCGCAAAAGGCGCTGCCAGTGCAAGCCAAGCAACAGAAGGGCAAAGTGAGAGGGAAGGCGAGCACACGATCGCCGCGCTGCGCAGAGAGCTTGCTGGGGAAGAGTACGACGAGGTGGCGGTGCTAGAGGCAGCGGCGGGCGCGGAGAGGTGGGCGGCGAGGCGGCAGATACAGGATGCACAGATATGGAGTTTGGATGCGGAGCGCGAAAGGCAGTTGGCGGAGGCGGAGGCTGAGGAGGCGGATGAGTCTGATGAGTCTGGTGCAGAAAGCGAGGGCGAAATGGAGGAGGGAATCAAGAGTATGGAGGGTATAGAGCACGAGGCGGACGGTATAGAGAGTGCAGGAGAGGACCTAGTCCGCGCCGCGGAGGCGCTCGCGGATGCCTCCGAAGTCTCCGCAAATGATTCCGACCTCGAATCCGACTCCGACGCCGACGCCGACTCGGACTCTTACGCCCTTGGGCCCCTTGACCTCGGCGACGACCTCGATATCGCACGCATCGTCTCGGCGGGCGTGCGCGGCGCGCTGCACCACCCCGAGGCCGTTGCCGACCTCCTGCGCGCACCTACAAGCCTGCACGACGCGAGCTCCGGCGGCTGGACCGAGACCGGTGTGTTTCGCAGCACCCAGAATGCCGCGCAGGGCTGGGACGACGAACAAGGGGGAGCATACGGCGAAATGAAGGAGGACGAGGATGGTGATGAGGATGAGGACGATGAGGATGGGTTAGTGGAGGAGGAAGCCGGCGCGGACGAGCTGTTTTTAGGCAAGTATACGGAGAGCAGTGGGAATCCGAGGGTTTTCGTGGCGGGGCTGTTGGGGACGTTGCAGACTCATGGGTGAGTGGGCCGGCAGGGGAAAAAACGCGCCTCCTCTTCCTTTCCTCTCTCACCTTCGACGGGGATGCGAATGTGCGAGAGTGGGGAACGTTGAATATGAGGTAGACGCGGCGCGCGTGGGGCGGTGACTCGACGATGCTGCTAGATATCTCGATTCAATCTAGAACTAAAATTACACCACTAATATTCCATCTATATATTGACGGGGTACATGGATTGCTGAATTGAACAAAAAACCATACAACTCACAGTTTCCTTAAGCTTGCGCATCTCCTGAAATACCAGTTCCCAATCCACAATTTCATTTCCAAACATCAATCATTAGAGGCATAATTTAATGTGTACGTACACTATACGGGGTAGGAGGGGGCGGGGCGGGGGCGGAGAGTGGAGGTAGGGAGAGGGGAAAGGGGGAGCACGAGTTGAGTCGCGCATGTGGGCCGGCGCCGGGGCGTCGGGACCAGGGTGGAAGAGGAAGGAAGGGTGGAAGAGCAGGGACTCGCTCGTTCCAAACGGTGGAGGGAGGACGCGGATCGAAGGAGGGAAGAGATGCTAGTCGGGAGGGAGGATGGATGGATAGTGTGCAGGGTGAGGGTGGATGGTCTATAGTGTACATACATTGCGCGGTTGAAGGCGTTCTAGGGATACAAGTACGAATGCGGTGCGGGACGAACGAAATACGGGTGCGGCGGCGGCGGTCAATAGTCGAGGTCGGGGTGGAGGTGGTGAGAGGGCGAATCCGGTCGGCGGGGTGCTGGGATGCTCTATACGATATCCCACAGCTCCTCCAGCGCGCAGCAGAACTGTAGTACGAACTCTGGTTAGCACAGACGGGCGAGACAACGGGGAATAGGGAACACCTTTCCGCACGCGACGCTGGCGCTGAGCGCGTACTCGCTGATACTAATCTTCTCATCGACGTACGCGTCGGCAAAGTCATCACGCCCGCGAGCCATGGCGCCGACAAAGACGGCGATCGAATGGGTCTGGGGCAGCGTCGGGAGGTAGCTCGAGAGGCGCTGGGTCTTGGCGTCGCCCGAGAGTGCTGTACGAGTGGAAGAAAAAGAATTCGTAAGTGAAGAGTAATCGAACGCAGGAAAGAGCGGACGCACTGAGTTTAATGGTATTCGGGGGGAGGTGGTCTGTGACGGGGTTCTTGACGACCTTGAGGAGCTTCTCGGGGCCGTTGACACCGCGGATGGAGAGCTTGTGGAGAAGCTGGACCATGAGGCCGCTGAAGCGCTTGAACGTGCGCGGGATGCGGACGTGCGGATTAATTTCGATGAGGACGCCCTTGGCGGTGTGGATGTAGACCTGCAGCAGCCCTGCCTTGTTCAGCGGTGAGTCGAGCAGGGTGAGCAGGCACTGAGGCGAGGTTTAAGCGGTAGTTTAAGAGGATGAACGGCCCACGGACCTGGTGGGTAATGTCAGGGCGCGCCTCAGCAATGTCGCGGCCTGTTTTTGCGAGGATGCCCTGGTGGTCGTCGCAGTTGAGCAGGGTGTACTTGACCTCACCCTCTGCGCCGCCGCGCTTGCCCTTGGATGGGCCGCCGGAGATGCGATAGGCCTCGAGGCAGGCTTGCTCGAGGATAACGTAGAGACGGCGGTGCGGGGA